TCAAATGAATAGACAAAGAAAATTTCAAACTTTCAAGAAAAAGAAATGGGTCCTTTTCCACGGTTTATCAACATCCATGCTTCATGTACTTTGTTGTCACTTTACTCCTCGCTAGCCTTTCATCTACGGACTTTTTGCCCTCCCTGCTGAAGGGTCCATGATCACAACAACTCTTTGCCCGGGGGTGACTCTGGCTCAACCCCAAGGCTACCCACGGCCGGCTCCCGTGCCGATCCCGGATGATGATCCGATGAAGGAAATGGCATCACAAGTCTCCCCCTCTCCTAATAGGATGCCGGCCGCAGATCTCTGGGAGGTGATGGAATTATCTCCACATAATCATACGTGATGACTGCCAACTGTAATTTGGGATTCTCATTACTCGCCATATAATCGGATTGGGATATATCTCCCCAGCTAACCGACTCGGCAACCAGCCGTGACTGGCTGAGATTCGGGAGCAGTTCCCTCACCTGTGATGCTGTCTTCACACCCGATGCTGGCAGCAGTCATCCAAACTCCAAAATGACAGAGCCAGTTGAATCTTTGGATTGACACACCGTACCACATACTTGCACAGTCATGAAGGTGACACAATTCAGTCCTGTTTGTAACACAGATGCCGTCCAGTCGATTCCTACAGACATCATTTTCATAAGTGCGTATCACGTGATGGACAGTTTGTGATGCATTTAATCTGGCACTTTTTAATCTTGAACACCTCACTGACTGTTGTACATCTTCAAGGCTCTTTGCAATGATAAAAGCAACTTCTTTCATGGATGGTGATAATGATCAGGATAGTGATAGTGGTGACGATATCCGATGATGAAGGTGGTAGGTATAAGTGAAATTTTAGGTATTTTTTAAAAATTAACCTCCGAGCACAAGACAAACAATTCCAAAAGGGGATAAAAATGCAGCGTTTTAAAAGTAAAAAAATGCTCTCTTTTCTTTGACACCGAGGCGAATAACAGACGACCACATCATACGGGACATGTTTTAAAAAGTCACAATGCCGTGCTTCTAAGGGAGGGAGATACAGGAGTTTAAATACAACACTTGAAAGTACCTCGGCGACCTAGTCCTAGTCGGCAGTGGCCACATCGAGCGACTTCAGGCTTAAGACAGGGGTGGCCCGGTACCACAGCTGATTTTTTTCAAGCACCATTTACCACGCGCTTTGCCTCACCACGCCTGACTTCCCCATCAGAGTTAAAACGCTTAGCGATTAATCTCATTTGCCAATCCCTTCTTCCCAAAGAAAACAGAAATAATGCCATTTTTTTCATTCAGATGAAAGGGAAGGTCCGATTTCAGTTGATAGGAAAAGACTACAGTCAGTACCTCCCAATATCAGGCAGAGCTAATAAATCCAGATTCTCAACTAATTATTTACGGTAGCCATGACAGTTAAGGGACAAAAACGCGCGAAATGCAGACTGACCGATTGAATGGATATGCAGATATCTCGAGATTGTTTAGTCAATCCCTTGTACGGTACCTTATTTCATTACGCCCCATGCCGGGCGCTTAAATGGTGAGTTCTCATTGGTGGAAAGCTCCAAGACGTCAGTGACGTGGATACAGCCATACTGACCTCCTCTAGTGATTGGGAAATCTTCGAGTATCTTGAGCCAATAAAAATTCTCTCTGCTTCATTCGAAGGCAGTGTTCACGAAGTAGGGAAGACCCCCCCCCCCATCTTGGTACATCAACCTAATTCAAACAACGAGAACACCACCGGAAGATGTCGATGGCTCTTGTCACCGTGTTCAACGCGCGGACACAATAATGACCTCAAGTCTCCTCCCGACTCTCCCAGGACAAAAAAGAAGGAAAATCACCTGCATGTCTGTAACAACTCAATTTGTTCCTGTCAGTCACTTCCCATCCATTTCTGTTAATTGAAGCTGAAGTAAGAAACTAAATTGCCGAGAAAACAAAAAAGGCTTGGGTTCTTTTCCCCTAAAGTATTAATTTAGCACATCCGACCGGAAAGATAAGATCTATTATGAGGGACATAGTTATGGCAAATACATAAATCAAACCAATCGTCTTGCGTTCAGACGCGCTCTGGCGGAAAACTGGCCTGTAGAAAATAAGAACACCGTCCCTTGTTAGTTCAGTTCTTCATTTTTTGGAACAATAAAATCAACCTACTTAACCAAGTGCACTGATCGGAATTGCTATCCCTAGATAACATCTCTTTGACTGGAGGTGCAGCGCGGTAGAAACGACTGGACGGACCAGGGCCTTTCCCCCCCAATTTTCTAAGTCCCCCTCCGTATCGTCAGCCCCCCCCCCCCCGTTTCTCTATCCTCTAAATTGCCCAGTGCCCAGCCCCGCTCCGGGGCCAGAGTCTTTGTCGCGCAGCACTGATTGACCCGACATTTATGGAATGAAATTGATGCCATCCTCTTATTGTATCTGGCGGGGTGGTTAGTGTCGTCTAAAATCCTCAGCTTAGAACTTTGGGATCGCTGGTATTAATAACAACGAAGATGTCGAGTGCAGCCACCCCCGCCCCAACCTCCGAGTCCGCAAACAACTCTAATCTGAGTGGAGATAATCAGTAATGATACGGAGTGGATGCTCCTTGTTTTGGTCCAAGTTGCTGGGAGCGTCAAAGGAAATGATCCAATAGATTAACTGTAGAGCTACGCCATATGGACTGAATCAAATAAAACGGTCGCGTGCCCAGTGGAATGGTATTATATTCATACGGACTGCGAATACGGGCGATTCACGATAGTGCGCCTCCAAGAGTTTGCAACACATTGGCCAATCACAGCGCGCGAAATCTGTCGACCCTTTCCAAGCGCGCATTGTGTCGACAGATTTCGCGCATTGTGATTAACCAACGCGTTCAAACTCTTGGAGGCGCACTATCGTGAAACGCCCGTATTAATACTCGACTCAATATGTAACTGACCGCACAACTGTGAACTCCCAGATGTAGGTTTTTGTTTAAGCTTAAGTTGTGGCTTCCATTTCGACTTCAGAGTAACAGAAATACATTTTTCCTGTTTGTAATAGGGTGTATTACAAACATATAAATATTACGGGATACAAATCAGAAAATCAATCAAAGAAAAGGTGGCGAAACCTTAAGAAGCTTCTAGAAACGATGCTCGTGGGACAGGAGTATCACACCTGCAAAAGCTGAGAATGAAAGGTTACCAAATGAACTAGAAGACGATATGATTTGTTTACAGTTAACGGTCTAAACTGTCATGTAGAACTAGAACTCCCACAAGGCACTGATCAGTATGGGCCCTGTAGTAGTCTCTCAGTATGTATGGGAGACACCATATGATTCTATGTGGTTCATGATGTTGATGTGCATCTATTATGCATTCAGAATGGCATATTTATGGCTTTTTCAAATTGTTTTTCCTTTCTTGAGTGATAATGAATGCATATAGTCGTCGAAAGTCTGAAAAATTCGTCAGCGTCTGCTTTAATTTTTTGCTCACCACAAAGGGTGGGGAAGGGGAATGGTTGAAAAGCTCATCCCCACCTCAAAAAGTGTGTGTGTGGGGGAGGGGGTATACCACCCCCCGGATTTATGCCCATGATTTCAGTAACGTTCAATACTAAATAATGCTATAATATTTTTCATTTGTACGGAGTGGAACGGTAGCGTAGAGAAAACGTTGCGCCTGCCTTTGACTCAACATAGAATTGAGCTGGGGACCCAGCTCAATTGACTTGACGAACAAAGTATTGTAACGCAGTCAACGTGCACATGTAATTGTTTGTTTTTCTCGAAAATGCTCTAATGGCAATAAATTTACGAGACCAGTGATAACATTTATTCATATCAAAGGAAGTCTCAGATGTGCTATAGTTTCATACGTCACACCCTGTTACCATGCAAAACATTTTATTTGGCTGGTGGACAGATATGCATTTCACTTATATCTTAATCCGAATGACTACTCTCAAAATTTTTGGGAAAAACACCAAAAAATAACCCCGGGGGATTGAATGCGCATGCCAGACACGTGACGCAGAACACCCGAACGGCTGATTAATATTCACAGGCTACATCCATAAGGGATAAAGGTGTTTTTTTTTCCTTTTTGTCTAGCACTGTGTCCAAATATTTATTACTGAAATGTGTAACGCAGTTGGAATAGTATACAAAATAATTTGTCAAACCATCAGTTACCGCCATTTTTGTGATAAGAGCTTTTTTTGTAAATGGGGCAGAGTTAATTTCATATTCATAATGCGAGAACTGGCAAGTCACTGCCAGCGGTCGGCCTGTGGTGAGCAGCCGCCGCATGTCCCTGGTGTTTACAGAAGGACAACCGGTGTTATGACACACAATGAGCAGGCAGCGTCGTCGATGACTTCATTTGTGTAATTAATTTGTCCGGGCATCTCTGTCTTTTTTTCTGCTCTTCCCTCAGCGACTGGTCCTTTTTTGTGGGGCTGATGGCTGCTGGGCCAAAGGAGGTGGTTGGTTTGAGCGGGTTGATTCCGTGCGTGTTTTAGCCGGTGGCAAAGCCTTGCCTTGTGTATTCGTCTCCCTCGTGATATTGGCTCAACCGGTTCGCTCAAGAGAGCTCGGATGCGGAGCGCACGCTGCCTCGCACGGCCCGTCTGTTTTGCGTTGACTTGCCAAACCAACCGGGTATCATTTTCTCTGCAATGCATGGTATCAGTCGACACTCATCCAGGGTTTACCGTTAGGCTTTGCTCTGTTGACACCGCTATTAAGTCCTGCCCGCCGATTTACCGTCGAGCATCACCGCCGATGACCGGCTACTTGGGACCCGCCGAGATCCATCGGGTGGCTGGAGTGTTCAATGTATTTGCGACTTTGCGCGAGATAACTCCCCCAGATTGCCGCGGCAAATCGATTGAAGCCAGGGTATTACGAGTTCTTGTCAACACGTAATTAAAATCCGTAATTGCCGACTCGCCTATCAACAACAGATTATGGTCGACTTCTAGATATCCAATGAGGCTGCCGGTGCGTCCACCAATCGCGTGGCGAGTTTGCGTGACGTCGACTAGCTGATGGCTCTCATAATCAAAAGGCGTGGGCATGCCCGACAGAGTTTGATATCTATTTGATAGAGAACCACCGATATCTGCTTAGATTCAATAGGCATTGCTCAGTTATTATAGAATGTACTACAGTCGTGTCACATCTTGACATAGTTCAGTTGTGGGAGAAAGAGACTTACTGTCGATTAGAGAGAGGAGTTCAGTGTGGCCATAGCATCGTCCCAGTTTGGATGCATCATCGTTTTGTTCGTGCCAGCTTACAATCTTCGAGCGCTCGAAGTTAGTTCGGGTTTTCCATTATTTCACTTACTGATTTCTGGAAGTGGGACACCGCAGTAAAAGGAAACCAGAATGGAAGGCCACAAATCTTTTTCCATTGATGCTCTCCTGTCGAAAGATCCGCCGTGCTCAGCCCGAGCCGTGAAGCCGCGCAGTCCGACGGCTGCTACTGCCGCTAGCACGCTGACTGCCGTGCAGTACGCGGGAATCCAGGGCCAACTCCAGGCCGCACTCAGTGAGCGCCTGGCCTACTTCCACGCTCACGCCCCGAGCAGCCAGAGCGCCAACAACTCGGCCCGGATGCTAGCCGCAGCCGCCACGGGCAGTATCATCCCCAAGCCGGGTCTGCTCAACCTGCAGCCGCCCGGCGTGCACGGCCCGGCGTCCGCCGTGGTTTCGTCCAAGCACAGCACGGCCGGCGGAGTGGCGGTGCCTGCCATCTACGCTCACCCGCTGTACGCCGGCTACCTAAACGGACAGCATCACGGGATGGCTCACCTCAGCGCCTTCCACGCGGCTGCTTCCGAACACATGTTGATGAAGGCAGCAGCTCATGGAGCAGGTCTGCCTGCTGGAATTCCTATGGATCTCATCCGAGGAAACATGATGATGCAAAGAATTGGAGACTATCCTGGTAAGTCAACTTTAGAGGGTTTTCCAAAGTCCACATTGCTACATTAGCCTACAGCGATATAAACGCATGTGTTAATATATGTGATCTTTAAAAATAAATAGTTTTTGAGTCCCGATAGCTTCATTACAGTATATTCACAAAAGCGGGGAAATATTAGAATTGGGAGAAACACAAGTTGATGACTTCACCAGAGCTCGAACTAACGACTTTCATTCTTAACCTCTATTAGAAATGAGGACATGGTAGTTCTATTTGCCCTAAAACTCCCCGAAACTTTCAAGAGTGGTAAGACTTTGTATCATGCTTGACGTATTTGATAAATACATGGTATCTTTGAAATTGCCGTAGATTATTTTTACTACCATTTTCACTGTTTGCACCTATTCAACGTACACTTGTGACCGCAAGATTGGACTTTTACAGTTATCAACTATTTACAAAATGAATTTTTTTCATTTCCCAATTATCAAGTTCGTTCCCCGAAAAACCTTTGTCGATGTCTTTATTAGAACAAAATAATTATAAATGCAAATGCAGACATAGGCTGTTTGAACCAGATGTCTGCTGAAGCCAAAGCAAATGTTTCCCTTCGAAGACGAAAATCAAGAATTCAAATGTTCTCCTCGTGTATCCGTCAAATTTTCGCCTTTGCGCTCCCTTCATACTTACCGACTTTCTTATTTATTCTGTTTCAATCAGTGAAAACATGAAGCTAGAGCTCATCGTGAAAGAATTCTTAATGTGTGTACTGCATTTGCTGAAAGGAGCCTTAATTTATCCCGCAAATGAAAATGAAATTAGCTACCAGGCTTTAACGGCTGCCGGCTGTCAAAAAACCCTTCACAGTCTTATATCGCAAAGGCGAGCTGTAGGCAAGCGCGCATTCCTGTCGTGGCTTCACATCGTCCAGCAGGCCTCTTTTGATAGTCATGTTTGAATGCAGAGTTGCACTCTAGGCAGACATTGTTAGATGAGATTACTGTTGCCACCACATTTAATTTCCCTGATGTCTTTATCGTGTGTATATTTATTATGCACCCCGCTTTTAATCTGTTTGTGCAAGCCTCTATTTTCTCTCACTTCCATGTTTCTTCTTGTGAAAGAGTCCGTAGACACTCGCTGATGATGGTGTTGCATTAACGGTTCTCTCGTAACTTCTGCCACCGTGCCCTGCACACGTGCTGCTTAACTTTTGGGCTTTTTTGTCGCTAAAGGAACAACAAGTCAACACTAAGGGTTACATGCTCAAATTGTGTGGTAAAATAGGCCGGTGGTGTCAATATGGGGGGGGGTTCTCCCCTCACAGCTCACCAGCAACGCAACGCAGCGTAGAATGTGCTTAGGCCTATGGGTTTGTATTTCTTCCTTTCCCCGATGTGTTGTAGGCAGCGATCGGTTGAGGAGGCTACATGAAGGCGTCATCTTTGAGATTTTTACGGTCAACTCAATCTGTCCTTAAATTGTTGCCGAATCGAAAGTAACAGAAAAATTGAGAGTATTGCACACAATCAATGACAAAGTGGACAGTGTGCCAGTCTTCACTTCTAGTAAACAAACGGCGCTTTATGCATGCATGTAAGCAGAGTAACTTTCATCAATCTGGGAAATTTGTTATTATCTTTATTTCTTAATTCTATTTAGCTGGTGTTTTCAACATCATCTTTTGCCATGCAATAGGGGAGAGAATACAATGTATGCCTATAGCGGCCAAAGTGAGACGGCAGCACAAAACTCTTCAAAGTTGAAGTGCCTTGGATATTTAGTGTATGACATTCGTACGTGAATATTATAATAATAATAATAATGCAAAACACGCACCGGTAACGGGTAGTTTAAAACAGTGAGCTTGTTAACTTCCATTGCACGCCTCGGCGCGGTGACATCATGCTGCAAGATGTAGATAACGTATCAGTAAAGAAAAATCACTACTTCTTCTCAGCAAAAGGCAAACAGAAGCTGTGAAGACTACCGTTGCGGTCCAAACTTTACACACAATTGGACTTGAAGTGTTAATGTCAACTTCAAAGATGTTTCGGTTTCAGTGAAGATGATTCTAGGCATTTGATTATCTGTATCGGATCAGCCCAACACATCCATTCTAGAAAGGAAGAGTAAATGAACAGAAGGAGCGGATGTAGAAAAGGAATTAGGAATGGTCAGGAATGAAGGCTAAAAATTGTAATTAAATGCATTCCAGCGAGTATGTAAACTTTCGATCCAACTGTATAGACCATCGGCACCGCCGAGCGATTTATGCACTGTATTCAAAAGCGGCATTACATAGAAATGTTTAATCCAACCGGCAGGGGTTCAAAAACAGCCCACATATCACTGGGTATGCATATCGAACCCGATTCGACGCGAGCGTGCACACACATGAAAGTAAATTGAATTCACGAACAAAGTTTCGATGAGTCTCTTATCCAGCAGTAAGCCCGGGGGTAGGATTGGGTGTAATTCCCCCATAGCTGCTAGAGGAAGAATGTTGGGATACCTTGGGGAACTGAATGAGAATATCCTATTCATCGTCTTTGAATTTTTTTTGAATGCCAGAAAAAAGTATCTGGCGGACATTAAATTTGAAAGGAAAAATCCGGGGGGGGGTGGAATTCTCCTAAATTTCTTACATCGTCACCCAGAAACATTACCCCCATAAAACCCTAGATCCGCCCCTGCTATCCTCAGTGTTTGACACCGGCCCGAATTGCATCACAAAAAGGCCGCGCCCAAAATGAAAGCACTTGCCGTAATTCACTAAAGCCAACAAGAAATAGGATGTTTTTGAAGAGTGGGCATGCGGCGGAGGAAAAGGTTGTGGGTGGAGACTAAGAAAGACGCTCTACCGCCTTCTGTCCTTCTTTACAGCCGGACCAGATACATTATTTTTTTAGTTCACAGTAATCGTTTTCTTTCGATTTACCCCTTGTCAGCGGCGTTTTAGCGGGGGCATTCCCACAGAGAAGCAAACAACGGCGATGAAGCTTTTGTTGAACTGACATTTTTCTTACCAGCGTAAGCAGATCTGATTTTTCCTGTGGTTGGAAACAGTGTTTAGAACGTGCTTTTTGTTCATCGGGCGCGAGGGGATAGACAAGTATACGGACAAGTAATTGTAATGTTTAATACATTGCCGTCAAACACAACGACCTTAAGTTGGGTTCAAAATGTTTCTCTGTGAAAACTCGCGGTGAAGTTTGAACGACGCCAACTCCTCATCCGCAAAAAAAGAACTTACGACGAGGCGTATATACGGCGCCGGTCAACCGTGATTCGGCAGGTATATTGACACAGAAAAATCGATGAAGTTTCCTGAACGGCAATCATCGGCTGATTTCGCGTAATTAACTCGACTGCATTTGTGTACATTGCCGTGGTGTAACGTGTTCACACCGAGCCGTTGTCCGATGTCCGGTCGCATTGTGCTTGGTCCCTTTTGGGAGAGGGCGGGAGGTTGGCCGGACGAGCAATTTTTGCCCGCCAATAATTAATTGCCAAGCGTTTGCGGCGGGAAAGTAATGAAAAGCTTATTCACAGTTCCCTATATGTTTTCCAAAATTATTCTGCTTCGAAAATTTGGTAACAACTTGGCAAACCTGAAGAGAAGCACCAATTTTATCAGTTATTAAAAATGATGTGGATGCTAACCACTTTGCGACGGACAAACCTTGCAGTGGATAATAAGCTTTAACGAAACTAACAGGTTTTATCGTTTCCCAATTTGACAGCAAAAGAAGTCTTTCAGGTGATTTTTCCAAGGATATACCTAGTCTGACTTTCCGCGAAGTACGTAGATTACTACGACTTGGGTTTAAATTAAAACTAGGATGTACATATGCATGTAAATTCGACTGCTATTATCCTTAATGCTGCCGTAATGCAGCATCGTGATTTGAAAATGACCAAATCGTGACCGATTATTTGTAATTACCGTTGTGATCCAAGGACACTACATGTCGCCGTGTCTCAGGGTTCTGTGCATTTCCATAGTTTGATCTGCCACTTCATAATGAGCCAGAGTGGAACTCATCCTGAAATCTGTAAACTTGCACACTACGGCTGAAATTTGCAGGGGAGTCTACAGATTAGTACTGGTAGTGCATGCAAAGCCACACCGTGTTTGCGCCGAAAGAGACAAATGCAACTAGGAGTCCTGGTTTTTATTGACAAAATTTTCCATATCTAGTCTTTTCTCCGCGAAACCGGTTCCCTCTGTAGAGGAAATGACACACCCGTGGTGCATTGGAACTTGACCATTGCCAGCCCAATTATTCCTGAATCGATGAGTACACAAATCACGAGAGTAGTGATAGTCAGACAGTTTCAAAAGTTTCTCTCTCTTATAAAACAAAGTAGTGAAAAACTATAGCAACCAGCACTTTGATTTGTCCACTACTTATTGATGGGCAGGATACCGTCCCAACGCACTAGCCAATCAGAGTGGAACACATAATATTTGCACAAATCTGCGAGTGGAAGACACTTTATATGTCCTAACAGTTCCAACTTTAGCGGTCGGAAGAGAGAGAGAGAGAGAGAGATGAACCGGGAGATAATTTTTCTGGAGTGCAGCCGCGTCAACGGAGAGTTAAAAAAAATGACGAATTCGAAGTTTGACATGACCACCGGGAAGAGATCTCCTCAATAGCTGTATTTACTCGGCGGCTTAGCTGGTGTTTGTTTCGGCTCTGACAAGATGATTCGCACAAAGTGCCCTTTTTGGACAGAAATGACTCGATACACCTCGTGGAGTGTCTCTGGAAATTGGCTTAATGAATCCCAATTTGCGCGGGCGATGTGAGAGAGCCAGGGCCACTTGAAAATGCTTTTTAGTTTCTGCAACAAAAGGAGACGAAAAAAACAGAGCGATTTATTTAGCTGTCTGCCGTCCGTGCTCTCTTCCGAGCGCGGCTCAGCTCTGGGACTCACCGTGGCAGCTAAAAGCGTCTAACACCCGGCTGTGTTCATTTCTAATTAGAAATTCGTCAACTCCAATTAGGGGA